TGGCGTCTGCATGGATAACCCAGGAAAAAAGGTGTGAAACAATTGTTTGCCGTTGCTTTCAAGGAGGGAGGGGGGGGTGGGGAGACTGACGACATGTACCCAAAACCACCCGCGACAATGTTTTTGCCCCATCAGGCATTGGGTGCTTAACCCAGAATTCCAATGGGCAGTGGGGACTGTGGGATAGCTACCTACAGTGCACCACTCTGTGAATCGATGCTAGCCATGGTATTGAGGACGCACTCGGCTGCTCTTAGTGGGGACATGCACAATCGACTGTATAAAATCGGTTGCTAAAGATCGACTTCTATAAAATCGACCTAATTTTGTAGTGTAGACATGCCCTTAGAAGAGGTCATGAGGGCAGCTGACCATTGGTGACAAGAAACTCTAGTGTTTACAGCAGACCAGAAGGTATTGCTTGCTGCCAAACACCTCCAGACCAGGCAATTCTCCTCCAAATTGGACCAGCGATTCCTGGGAACCTACCCAGTGTGCCAGCAGATTAATCTGGTTACTTTCAAACTTCAGCTTCCGCCATCTCACAAAATACACCCCGTTTTCCATGTTTCCATTCTGAAGCCCTATACAGAGAACCCCCTTCTCTGACCAACCCATACCCCACTGCCTCCACCAGTTAAAATCCAGGATCATGGGAATATGAAGTGCATGACATTCTTGATGGACATGGGGCCACCTCTACTAGCTGGTGGACTGGGTAGGTTACAGCCCTGAAGAGGGCACACTTGGGAACCTGACTCGTATCCATGCCTCTGACTTGGTCGAGGAATCCCATGAGGCTCACCCAGACGAGCACTATCCCGAAGGGTGGTCTGAAGGAATAGATGATGTAAGAACCTGCAGGGCTAGAATCTGGGACCCGGGGGGAGTTCTGGGCCACTGACCCCTTCACATCACCACAGGAGGATTAGGCTAGGTTCCTGCAGGAGGACCTGGTCTGGCTGGGCTCAGTAGGAAGTACTGCCCAGCAGGACCTGAGTGGCAGCTCCTTGCTGGTACCAGTACTTAAGCCAGGAAGCCATGACAGGGAGCTGGCTCAGCAACAACCCAGACTGCCTGCCTGCCTGTCTCTGCTTCAGACCCCGCATGTAAGAGACTCCAGACTGCAGCTTCTGACTCCGCCTGCCTCCTGGCGTCTGGCTCTTGGTTTGCCCTCTGGCCTGTCTTGGAGTCTGGCCTTCTGACACCCAGCCGAGCCCAACTTCCACTCTGACCACTAGATCTGACCACCTATGTCCCAGTCGTGACACCAGTTACTCCCCATTTTGTATTTATGCATATTAATGAAAAAAAAATTGATGCTCCAGCATCACAGCATCATGCTATGGGAGACACACAAAGAGCTCAAACACATAAAGAGGCAGAGAGGGTTTGTTTTTTTTAATGTTATGCATGTTTATTAATTCTGTGCTTGGGAAGCTGCTGCATCTTTCCCTCAGGTCTTAGGGTGCAAGCTTCTTTTGGCGCTGTGTAGTGTACATACACACGTAGCCCCCCTAGCACAGGTATAAAGAGCAATGTAGGCCATGAGGCATGGCTTAGGTGAGTAAACACATGCCTGAAGGGTGTAGGTACACAACCTACCTGGCTTTCCCCTCGCCCAAGCCAGGCCTCCCTATCTACACTGCTATTTTTAGCAGTGTCGTGTCCCGCTGTCTCCTTGCTGCTGGAACCTTTCCTTACTACAGGAAAAGTCTTCAGCAGTGGGGAAAGGCTCCGGCAGCTCCCCGCTGCTGGAGCCATTCTCCTGCCTCAGGGACAGATGTCAGCATGTCCCTGTTGCTGGAGTCTTTTTCTGCAGCTGGGTAAGACTCTGGTAGGGGGAAAAGGCTCTGATGGGGGGGGCCCTGAGCCTTCCCTGCTGCCTCTCCGCTGCCAGAGCCTTTCACTAACATGTTGCTATGCACTGCAGTATGGACACAGCTGCTTTTCGCTGTGGCATGAGGCTACACATACCCTACACGGTGCCACCAGTGGTGTGTAGTGTAGCCATAGCCTTAGGGGAATAGCACAATAGCAACTACTTTAAAAGCATGAGCTTGAATGCAGCCACCATATGTTATTTAAAATGTGTTCGAGGAATCAGTGGGTACCTTCCTTTCTCCCATTACCCTACCTAAAGACAACCAAATGCATAGCTCCCCTATCTTTGACTTCAACACAGGGCCCAGCAGGCTAAATCTTCTGAAGAATATGTGCAACCAGAACACACTGGTCAGTCTGGTCACAGAGAGACAGAGAGCTGCTGGGCCCTTCCGCAAAATACTCTGGGAGGCTGAAGAGGGAAAGGATGGTTGTGGAGGGTGAACGCCTGTTGAGATTCAAGACCAAGGTAAACTCAAAAGCCAGACTCTCTATAGGTCCTTCCCACCTGACTAGGATATGTTAGACACATTTATTTTCTTGGAGAAAAAACGTTCAGGTTTTTTTTGGCTGGACTCTAAAATCTATTGTAATTTTACTGTAATTTTTTTGTCTGGAGACCACTCGATTCAATATTCAGTATGAAATACTTTTATTCTTAGTTCCAAATGAAGAGAATCATGCTGAGCTATGGTGCAATTCCTTGTCAGTTATGGAATCTGGAAGATTTCCAGGGACAAGCTGCAATAACCCGGATTCTTCCTCTTTCTTTTCCATTCATTACAGTGCCCATATTGGAAGGGGACTGAGCAGTTGTTTAGCTGGCATTAGGAGTACATCCTCCCATCTCTGCCAATAACGAGTAATCAGAATTATTTCCCTTAACACAGCTGCTAAAATGACTAGAGATGGGGCAGGACCTGGCACCATTTCCTGGGGAGTATTGCGAGACACCAGCAGTACCTATTAGGAACCACTGAAGGAGGGAAACAAAAAAGCCTGTTTCCCATTGTGACAAAGTCACAATGAGTGGACAAGAGATGTCCACATCTGAAATCATTTCTACATCAAAAGTGCTGAGATCAGCTCCATAAAGTCTGAGAAGACTTCTGCATATTTAACGCCACAGGATCAGTAATACCTTGTGCTGAACAAAGAACCGAAGGGAAAAAATTACCCCCAGGTGTCCCTGCTTAGTAGCCACAGGCCTCTATACAGCAACAGATACTAAATTAGCTGTTCCAGGGTTCACATGGAATTTCTGATATTTCCCCTGATCTCTACAAATATCTCAGATCTAAGGTAGACCTAAAACTCCCTGTCTTTTTTTTCCTCTGCTGAGTTTCCAGCTTGTGAAATATAAAACTGAAGCTTTACTAGACCTTTGAGCAGAAAAATACATGTAGCTCTGCTATAAGAACCTGAGAGAGTCTAACACCAATGTTCCAGACAGGAAAAAACATTTTCAAAGGGAGCAGCATTGTCTAGTGGTTAAAACACAAGACAGAAAACCATGCCTTATAGTGACTGACTCAAGGAGCTCCATCTAGTTAGCTTAAGAGTATTAAGGGGTGACCCAATCACAGTCTAAAATTACCTACATAGGAAACACATATTTGATAATGGGCTTCTCAGTCTAGCAGACAGAGGTATAATATGAGCCAGTGCCTTGAAGTTGAAGCTAGACACATTCAGACTGAAAATAAGGGGTAGATTTTTAACAGGGAGGGTCATTAACCATTGGAACAATTTATAGAGGGTTTTGGTAGATCTTCATCATTACTGGAAATTTGAAAATCGAGATGGAATTGGTTTTATTTTTTAATGATATGCTCCAGTTCAAAAGGAATACTGTTAGGGAAGTCCTATGGCCTGTGTTATACAGGAAGTCAGACTAGAGGATCACGATGGTCCCCTTCTGGCCTTGGAATATATGCATCCATGAAAAAACAAAAGTCTGGGTTCTATTCCCAGGAGTCAGTGACTTACTGTGTGACCTTGGGGCAAGTTGTGAGGAAAAAGGTAAATTAAGAGGATAAAAGAACATTGCTGCCTCATTTCCACTATAGCTGATCCCAGACAGCTTTCTTATTTTTTAAGATAATACAGCTACTTGCCACTTGAATAGTGTAAACTGGTGCTATCCCTAGAGGCCTGAAATGATGTTGTTCTCTCTGTCTTTCACTTAATTGTTCCGTTCACAGAAAGGGCTGGGGAAGCTTGTTTTCCAAACAAACTTTCCCATCCAGAGACCGGAAACGAGCTCACCAAGGAACCTCCTATCCACAAAAATGATATTTTGTTCAAGACTGCCATCCATCCATCCAAATACATGGAGACGGAAGGAACCGTCTGTCATATTGACCTGTTCTCTGCTAGTCACCCACACATGCTGTTTTCATAGAGAAATCTCTGCTACTGTATCTGCTCACTCTTTAAAAAAAACAAACAAACCCGAAAGTGGTTTAAGCAGGCCTCAAAAGCGACTCAGTCAGAAAATTTCTGTTCTAAGATCACTGCCTGATTTATCATTTAATAAAATGAAAAACCAGGCAAACACTGTTAGAAGAAACTATGGGCTAGATCAGCATCAGGAGAAGCCTATGTTGCATCAGCCAGAGGTCCCAAATTTGAAATCCTTGTATCTCCTATTTACGCCAAGCACAGCTGTAGATATCAGCTATTAGACTAAGATCACACAATTTTAAAAAGTGAGCTTTACATGTAAATCCAGATATGTACGTGAAACCAGAGCACTGGTTCCAAGGAACAAATGACAGAAAAGCACACTCAGGCCTCATGTATGCTAGACTTATTTTCCTCCAATTTCCTGCCACTGCTGCCACCAGTTCAGCTTCACCAGTGGTAACATGAAGTGCAGACAATGTGCTGGTGCTGCTGGGATTCCAATCAATGGTGTCAAAGACCTGCTTTGACCATGGAAGATGGCACATTGGTTAAAACACTGGCTGGTCTACACTAGTGCTTCCCCTGGGGCCACTGCTAGTACAGCTATAGAGAGGTTAGGAAATTTTAGTTAAGAAGGTACCCCTTAGATTGGAGGGTCCAGTGAGATGGAACAATAACCCGGCTTTTGATGTGCTTGTGGGACTTACCTGAAGGCAAGCTACTCCTATGCCAACAGCTCCCATTATCAAAAGGTGATCTGCCAGGAACTGTTCCAGTTTAGTAATGCATCCTCCCTGCAAGCAAAATCATTGTGTTTACTATGAGGGATAATTCAACGGTGTTGACAAGATTTACTGTCCATTTCCTCCCTCTCACACACAGCTTTCATAGTTGTTACAGACAGGAAATTAAAGCTCTTTAGTGTGTATAGAGTTACAGCCAATAGCCTTAAAATCAAGAGGAGTGACAACGGGGTGGAGGGAATTCTACACTGACAGTAAAGCCAGGGAGGGTCAGTTCTGTTTATTGTGATGGTTTTTAACTCTGCAAACAGGCAACAGCACGCCCAAACTTGAATCCCCTTTGTAAGTCTTGGGATTTGCAGATTGCTAGCTGCCTAGTGGTCACAGCATCTTTGTGACTCAATGTGTGCTTTAGAGGGAGTTTATTATTTTGTATGGTTGTGTGTGTGTTTTGTGCTGTTAAAGAATAATCACATGCTAGGCTCTAAGCAAAGCGTCTGCGTGTGTTACAGGTTTTACACTTACCAGGCAGAGGCGGATTTACAGTAAAACACAGGGTGCCCTGGCATGGGGCCCCCCAACGACAGGGGGCCCCAGGGCCGGGCAGCTGCGGGGGCAGAAGCCGGCTCCTGGGGTTCCTGCTGCAGGCTCCGCCCCCACCGGCAGCCAAGCTCCCCCCTCTCCCACCTCTTCCCCGAGCGTGCCATGTTCCCGCCCCTCCCTCCCAGTGCTTCCCCTGCCGCCAAACAGCTGTTTGCCAGGGCTCAAGTCGCTCCGGGAGGGAGGGAGGGGGAGGAGCGGGGCCGCAGCGCACTTGGGAAGGAGGAGGAGGAGGAGGCGGCGGCGGCGGCTGGGCCTGGGGAAGGGGGTGGAATCGGGGCAGGGCAGTGCAAAGGCGGGGCCCCCACACTCCCCCCTACACATACCCCCCCCTCAGCCCCCTGCACCCCCTGTTTGACGGGGGTGCAGGAGTCAGTGCAAGGGGCTGGGAGCACCCCCACGACCCCAGCCCCCTTCCCTGACTCCTGCACCCCCGTCAAACACCTCCAGCCCCCTGCCATCCCTGACTCCTGCACCACCCACACATACCCAGCACCCCCACACCCTATGCCCTGACTCCTGCATCCCCCCCACGTTTCCACCCCTACCCAGAGCATCGAATGGTAGCTCCTGCACACACACACACACACACACATTCCCACCTGCACCCCTCGCACAAACTGGAGCTGCCCCAGCTAAGCGCTCCACATTCCAACCTCCTGCCCCAACCCTGAGCCCCCTCCTGTATCCTAACTCCTGGCCAGACCCTGCACCCCCAGCCCTGAGCCCCCTCCTGCAGCCCCCTCACACACCCCCAGCCCTGACTCCTGCACTCCCCCCCCACATCCCCACCTGCACCCCTCGCACCAAATGGGAGCTGCCCCAGGTAAGCGCTCCACACCCCAACCCCCTGCCCCAACCCTGAGCCCCCTCCCGCACCCTAATGTTTTTTTTACATTTTTTTTTATAAAGCTCTCTTATCCAAAGCGCTTTACAATAGTTAGCTAATGGTACAGACAATATTTGGAAAGATCATTAAGTGGTCTGCCCAGACCCTCAGCGATTTTCAAGTGGTCTGTGGAAAAATAAGTTAGACAACAAAAACAATCAAGGTACCGCACTTTATTTTCATTTACTTCCTATTACTTATAGGAGGAGGATGAAGAAAAAAGAATGAAAAATCGGGGTGGTGGGAGGTCAGAGAGAATGTTCTTTTTCTTGGCTGGGTCCCAAGGAGGGGCCCCAAAAATGAAGCTGAGCACAGGGCCCCACTAACTCTAAATCCGCCACTGTTATCAGGGGGCCTCCTGAGGGAGTTAAATGGCTCACATCTTTGTGGGTGTCTAGGAGACGGTGTGCTTAAGCCATGGGGGAGTCTGACGGGTCATTACTGGGTCCAGCAGGGCGGCAGCTGGACAGCAGGTTCCAGCTTTTAGGAAGGGGTGCTAGACAGAGGGTCTTCAGCCTGAGAATGTGCCTAGGGATCCCAAGAGTGGGGCAGTGGCTGGGCTCTGTTCAGGCTCCAGATTTAAAACACTTGGGGACCCAGCAGTTGAGTTTCCTACAGCAGTCTCGGGGGGGGGGGGCAACTGAGATTTCTGACAGACTAGTACAGATTGAGACAGATACAGAAAAAGGGTTGATAGGAGTGGTAGTCCACAGAAGCACAGGCATCTGTTCAAGGTGACAACAGCCTGGACCGAATGTGTGGAAAACCCCACCCATGATCTTCGCCAGAGAACTAAGCACTGACAAGAATCTCTGGGGAGGCTACTGAAAGAAGGATGCAAAACCCCAGTGAAGCCATTTTTTCCTTGTTTACAGGTCATAGGCTTTTTGCTGCCTTTCCACGGGGGAGGGGCAAAATAGTGCCAATTACTCTATTAGCAACGTGTCACAAATCTGCTCACTTTTCCCTACAACATCTCTGCATGCATATTGAATACAAATATTGCAGGCATGTCATGAACTTGTTCCAAATACCTTAACTGGAGCAAACATATTTTCATTCCACACTGGATGTCATTTTCACTATTTAAAATGGTCAGAATGGACAGCTTCTTGCTAAATCTAAGATGCTAGCGGTTGCCAGATAAAGCCAGCAACTGGTTGGAACTTTCCCTGCTGTGGAGATTACGCTATTTTGTACCTTCAAACACACTTTCTCGTTAGTGAAGTTCCAGTAAGCTTATTTGGAACATCCACTGCAAGCAGAGCTGAGGCATTCCATGCTAGTAACAACAGAACAAAGGCTGAGAGCTGAATGTTCCCCAGCAACTGTGTGATAATAAAAACTGGGAATGGCAGAGCTCATTTTACAGCATACATGCCGGAGAGAAAAAGAGAAAAATGATGGTGTAAAAATGACACTTTCCTAATTAACAGATCTCCTCTCTGTGTATATTTAGAATAATTTTTCACTCAAGTCAGCAGATGTTAGGAATTTACTGCATTTTTATTTGCATTAGTCCTGCACAGCCAACACAGCTTGGAGAGAGGGAGCTGGAGTCTATTCTTTCCCATCAACTCAGTTCCAATCAGTGACACCTGTGTAAACCCACTGAAGCTAATGGATTTGCACTGGTGTCGCTGAGGTCATACTTTGACCTGCAGAACCTTCTTTTACTATTATTTGTACTGAGATAGCACCTACGGGACCCAGGCATGACCCAGGACTCCACTGTGCTAGGCATTGTACAAACCCAAAACACAAAGTCCCTGCCCTGAGGTGCTTACAATCTACGTGTTGACATAAGAGACTTGATGCTTCTCTCACTTTCAATAGTGTAAATCAGGAGTAACTCCACTGAACGCAATAGAGTTACACCAGTGTAAGAGGAGCAGGACAGTCAAACATAGCACAGGCAGTGGCATGAAAGCTTTCCACATTTCTGTCCACCAGTGTGCCTCAGTCCCCTCACCATACAGTCCCCCTGGCTTTCTGTTTTACCTTTGGTTATTTCATTCAACAGCATTGTGTAAATCACAATGATGTCAATACTGTTAAGAGGTTAGAGTAATCTCTAATACTTTTGGAATGTCTGGGTTACATAGAAACTCTCTTTTTTAGACTGCATGAAATTAAACTAGTAACTAGTCACAAATCACAGAATATTTTGGGTTCAAGTGGATTTTTAATAGGTCTTCTGTCTACCCCCCTGCACTGTGGCAGGATTGATTTTCTTTTCCCTAACACATGCTTATTATCCAGATTAGAAAAATCTCAATGGCACACATGCAAAGAATAGAGGGTAATCTGTACACGTCAAAGTGCAGTCTCACTCTGAAAAGTGACTCTAATAATGGCATTGGGGGCGGGAGGGGAGGAGGTTTCAATATTATTGTCAATCAGACTCCTGCTTAGTTATGCTTTGTCTGCAAGTAAAAAGCCATCAGCCCCTCAAACTCCACCTGGGCTCTGAGAGACAAGCTGGACGCTTTCATTCACACAAATCAGCAACTGTAACCGAGGATTTTACTAGCCAGGGCTGTCAATCCAACCCTTTTCACTAGCATTATATTCATTTTAAAGGTGACCTACAAAGGAAAAGAAGGTTGGTCTATTGTCTTTTTGGCTCTGATATGATGCAGAGAGAAGGCCTGAAAGGCTTTAGATTTATTTAAATTTATTTTTTTCTCTTTGTTGTTTAAATGAGTAATGCAGGTCTTGTCTATCAAATTTATCCTAGAAGACTCTGTGGATGCCTGAAGACCAAGTAGAATTAAGGCATTAAAGACACTAAGAATGTGAAACCTCAGCGCTTCAGCAGAGAAGTGACTTTTACTCAAGCTGTTTTATATTGTGTGTTTTGTTCATTTTAAATTCATTTAACTCAAATGCCTGAAAAACAGTTGAGAGAAAAGTTCTCTTCGGTAAAGATTTAATATACCCACAATATACCCACCCTATTGATTAAAGGCTGAGATAGCTCCCAACCTACCAGGCCAATTCTCTGATTCCTTGAAGAAGCCCTCCAGCAAGAAACAGGGAACAGCAGACTTGATGTTCCTGATATTTCTGAGACAAAAAATTAGCAGAAATATCCCCTTTCCATTTATACTTTTTTGTAAAAACCCATGAGTCCTTCTTTATACATCATAGTAAAAACATAGGCACATGTAATGTGAATGACTGACAACTGCTGTGATACCAAATCGAGAACTGACATCATCTCTATGATTGGGCAGGACAGTCTTAAAGCAGCTTCTGGACTGAGGGTGATATAAACTAATGAGAACTGAATTTTGATTGGCCAACTCTCCCCCACCCAGAGAAGCACATCCATTATGGTAACTTTTTAAAGTGCTTATCTGTCAGTGTCAACCAGTAAGCTAAGGACTTCCATTTTTTTCTCCTCCAGTGTTTGGAAATAGGTTTTCATCCATTAGTTCTGGAAGCAAGTATAAACTGAATGTGTATTAAAAGGAGTGTTTATAAAGTGACACGGTACTTTGTAGAACGCACAGTATTGTATTTTTCTGTTGCCACTTGTTATGCAAAACCAATATAA